TGATTAAACATCAAGAGTGCCTAAAACTTACATAGTGAAGCACCTCGATTGGAATAGATAGAGATATTATGATTATTTGGAAGCTTACTAATGCCTATAGTTGTTGACATTAGCTGGGGGACGGGGGGGGGAGGAGTCTGTTCTATTACTCGGATAAACAACTATTGTTCAGTCGACTCTGATGATGATTTCCGCTAAGGTTATAGAAACGTCAGTCACTATTACTGATTACTTGCAGTCACAACTTCTCAGGAGCACTCTTACCTGGAAGATCAAACTAAGCAGTCCAAAGGTACTCTTGTGTTGAAACTACTCACTGTTTAACACTAATCATAAAAAGTGGATCATATGAAATATTTTAAGTCCCTGTTATCATTGATGTACATGTGCGTGCCAATAAATCGATTTGTGAATCCTTTCACTTTGCAGAATAACTTGCTTATAGCATTTAGTCTGTGCCACAGTAGCGCAGATTACAACCAGGTACCTTTAGCAGTTTGTAAATAAAGTAGGATCCGCAGTCTTTCACTTTAATGTTGTTTGATTTCTTGCAACAATCTCCACCTCTGGTAAAGCAGACCTCTGAAGAAACCTCACCATCTGCCAGTGTGGGGTGACCACCTTTTAGCCAGCCTGAGTAGTCCGTACCACATCTATAACCCGGTACGCACTGGGTTGGCATTTTTGTTCCTGCATCTCCCACAAAACGATACCATTCCCCGAATATTATGGATGAGGATTCGTCGTCACATTTTCCTTGACCGTCGGGTGTGTTGTAAGTGCTCTTTCTGTCAGCCTCGCTCAGGTTTCTGTAATTATGGCACGGATCGGCTAAAAAGTTGAATTTCGGTTAACGCGATGTTTGATATATTTTTCTTTATAAGAAAGCTTAAGGAAAAAAAAATCATCATACAAACTGCGGTGTTTTAGAAGGATTTCCCGCCCTAAGAAAATTCGTAATAGCACGCGCTTAATATGACGATAATTTTTTACATGTGTTTGATATCACCAATCGGCTGTGTCAGGTTAATAAATGAATAGCAAAGCGTTGACTGTTCTCAATCCAGGGTAGCTTGTCAAGATTTTATCGGATTATGACTGCTTAAAGCACAGAAAAAAATCGTATCTGTAACAGACAGTGTCGTTCAAAATTTCCCAGAGGCGGAAGTACAGAAGAAGGTAAATCTTGTTTATTAATAACTAATCTGTTATCTGTTTCTCAATACACGCTCTGGAGGATAGTGTTTCCTAATAGCCGATCAAATCGCAACACATAACCAATCAAAGCTTCAGCTTTGAAATATTGTAAATTGGACAGAAAATACCTTGAGCGTTTGAAATATACGACACCACGAAAGTTGAAAATGAATTTCACTGTCATTTATCGATTTTTTAAATTGACGAAACCTTGCCCGATTTAACAGCCCTAAAACGTGATTGAGAACTAAGGAATTTGAACTGCTCATCGTGCCTTGTAAATTTTTGCTGGTTGGTACAGTTTTGCTCGAGCCTTTTCCAGCGACTGACAAAATCTTTTCCTACCGTTTAAGTCACTCTTAGTATTGAATTAAGTGTTGTTGGATTTCTACGTACAAAAGTCTTCGATTCAGACTTCATACTTTGCTCGTAGCTTCGTCGGCTAGATTAAAATTTGCTTATGTTTCCCTTATTCTCTTTGCCTGCTTCCTAATTTTGGGAAAATATTCTTCCATTAATTACTATTGAAATGAACAAAAAAACTGAATCTTGTGATTCCTCAGTATTTCACTGGGCATCCTGTACTGCGCATAAAAATCACGTAATCGGGCGAACAAGCGCGCTTGAATTCCGAGAACACGGTGTTGTTTTTCAATAAATGGACCAAGCAAAGAGTTACGATGCTCTTCAGCTCTTGAGCATGGTGACCTCTATTTTTCATTGCATAATTTTGGTGTACAAATTTTATCCCCTTTATATTGGATGAATTAAAAAAATAATCGAAGGCAAAAAAAGATATAGCTAAAAGCATGCACAAAGCCCGTTATTTGATGATGAAAATTATGACTTGGAAAACAACGACTAGAGGAACGTTTCGAGTCGACGTCGATTAAAATTACGTGAATTTTTTCACAAATTATTTACCAAAATCTTCCCTACGCTCGAGACTTTGTACCTGTCAATTTTTTTAAAATTTTTACTTTAAAAACTATTCTTCCAGCTATCAAAAAATGTACCGTGAAATGAGGCGCGTGAAAATGCATTAGTAGAGGTCGTAGAGGCAGAAGTGGGGTAAGTTTGGCCCGTCATTTCTCTCAAACAAGCAGGGTGACCTTTCTTTTTAATTTTACTTTTAGAAACAGACATTGGCAAGGAAAATTTAAGGAAAGACTGAAAAAATTGTCGGATAACTTTTTTTTCTGAGGAATCACCTTAATAGGTCCGAATGGGAAATCTTAACCGCGGTCAACATCGATTTTAACCAATCAAATTATTCTGTTTGATTGCTTTCAATCCTTTCGAGACATAACCTCATAATGATTCTATTTATAAGAAAAATTATGCATCATCAAGAAAAAATAATGGGATGATTGTTTTCTCTCCTGGAGGACAAAAACGATGCACATCAAGTCTACAAATATGATACAAAAAAAATCAAAAATGAAATCTATATTTTGAACATTGAGTGCGATAGTTGTCGTTAGAGAGTTGTTGGTCGCTATTTACTATAGATCTGAAGCTGATCAACGAAAATGTTCAGCATTTTGTCCTGTTGCTTTCAAGTGGGATCAAGGATTTTCATTTTGTACCATTGGTCAAAAATATTAAGGCAAGGGTAACTACTTTATCAAAACAAACAAATCAGTCGACTAAGAAGGAACGTACAAATTAAACAAACAAACAGACGAAAGCAAACTAACATTTCTCAACGTTATAGTGAGGCAATTACCTGTGCAGCTCCGTCCATCTCCGTTAAATCCAAATAAACAGGTGCACACAAAGGATCCATTTGTGTTTTGACAAGTAGCGTTCAGGTGACAATCGTGAGTATTTTTTTGGCATTCATCAATATCTAAAAAAATGGGAAAGAAAAGAAAAATTCTACAACGGAAGTGGTTCCACGAGTCGGATAACACATTCATTTTTAACTTTTATAAGATGAAAAAGCATTACGTTAGCTATCATTGTGATAAATGAATTGTTAATTTAAACTAAACCAAAACTTCCACTGCAGCGGAATCTCTCTCTGGCCACCATTCCAAACTGTAGTTGGATATCAGCCGTTAGAGATCGGCCTTAGTAGCATTCCGTTGTAATACGCACTCCAAGGCCAAACGTGATATATAAATATGGCGGTTTAAATACTCCAGGATATATTGTGTTCTTATTGGTCTATTCTGTAATTAACCTTTTTCGCAATGTTCTCCTTCGAATCCAGGAGAGCACGAGCATCGATATCCCTTGATTGTGAAACCGGATTGACAAGTTGCATTATTTTGACAAAGTGGGCTTTTACCGCACGCGTTCTGAAAAGAAAAAAGAAAAAAATAATAAAGAAGGAAGATCGATGTATTGAATAATTGATACATGAATGAACGAACTTAAGTTTTGTTAAACGTCGGTTGTTTTCCACGATTCATCACCGAGTTGCTGAATTTGAATTATACCTTATATTTTACCTTTGAGCCTCGATAATAAAAATCAGCATCAATTATCAGGTCAGTATCATTTTCAAGATGAGTGGCGTTATTCAGTTCACAGATATAAGCGATTCCTCCAGTCTCTGGCTCTTTTTTGAAGTTAGCACTGACGCAGTTGTCGTTCATGTAGCAGAAAAGTTCACAGTGGTCCAAGTCTTTGACGTGTTTAGTTTCGACTACATGGTTTACCAAACGTCTTTCAGCAAAGAAGAAGTAATCTGGAAACACCATTGTGCGATCTCGCTCTGAAATAAAGCAATCAAAATATAGTTAGAAAACAATTTTTTTCTTTTCATACAGAAATAAACTCACGATTCGAGTTATTAAGCGTGCAAAATAACACGCTTGGTGAACAAAGAACTGTGATCTCAGTTAAACCATCACTACGAAAAAAAGGAAAAAAATTGATGCTACCTTCATTTGTTGACTTTTGTCTTTCTTTGAACATAAGTATCTAGGACAATTTTCCAAGTTTCAATTCCGCGATCAGAGATTTCCTCATGATTTGAGCGGAGACTTCTATTTCGATAAAGTAGGTTAACACATAAAATGCTTGCGTAAAAGACAAATTTGAATAAGGTTTATAATTGTTTTTTGATCACGCTGTGCCCGCTCTTATATCACAATTTCGGAATATTTTGTATAATAAGGCACTAGATAATTACACCCCGCCCCCTTCTCCACTGAGAAAAACTTTCAAAACAAAAGAGAAACGAAAACCAAAAATTGGTTGCAGCGACCATCACTTTTCTTTTGTGAAGACACAAGGCTTTTAGAGAGAGGGTTCGGTCTCTCTATTTTCCGCAGCAATATTATTTTAGGGGAGATAGGACAAAATCCGTAAAGAATACGATCCGTCAATCTTTTACTGTTGCTGTAATTTATCATAATTTTGAATATTTTGTGTAATAGGGCACAAGGTAATTAACCCCAGCCCTCCCTCCCTCCCAAAGTTTAAAACAAAAGTAAAACAAAAACAAAAATTAGCAGCAGCGACCATCACTTGTGAAGAAAAGATGTTTATAGAGCATTTCGTGTCTTCTTGTTTCCCCTGAACGATATTATTTTAGCGGAGATAGAACAAAAGCCGTTTAAAAAAGCTATCCGCAAATTTTTCTCAAGTTCCTTCTCTAATTCATGATCGATAAGTCATGAAAAAAAATCATTTTTCTTTATAAACCTTTTCACTTTCTTCATCACACAGGTCCTTGAAATTCAGAGTTTCTTACTCGAGTTTAAACGATCGCCTTTGGTTATTTAGATCGATTATCACAGAAGAGGAAATTTATGCTAATTTTCATTAAGACGGGCTATCGTTGTCAGGCATCACGCAGGAGATTCATATACGGGTTCAAGATGTTTCTATCGATAAATTCAGTATACATTGGGAAATTTGACTTTTTCCTGTAAAATAGTAAATTTAAATGAAGAAAGTCAAACACTATATTTCTCAAACAAAAAATATCGAAAGTACCAACAATTTAACGGTAGTCATGCCACCTGTTTTTGAGGTGAGTGCCTTTAAACTAATCCTTAAATATATTTTTGCTGACCTGAACTTTCTCTGAGACTTGCACAATATTCGATTTTAGCTTTTGATAGATAAGCTATGTTCATGGACGAATATACAACAAAACATTGTAGGCATTCTTTAACATATGTCAGCACTGTTCTCTTGTAAACGAAGTAATTTGTATTTGCCAAAGTTTTTTGTCGTTTTGCATCTCATATCCAATTTTCTGAATAAAGAAAAGATAAAACATTTTTGTTAAATACCTTTTAATTTTTCAAAAACGAGTTCCAATCTTGGGTGGATGTTCAATGTCGGTTTTTGACTTAGTCTTTGCTAATTGTTGTAACTTTAAGTCTTTTTGTATCAGCAAAAGAGAATAAAGGAGATATATAAATAAGGTTGTACTCATAAGTGAATCGAAGGATAAAAAATGATTCGCCGTCTGCGACTCACCTTTTCCAAAAGTGAAGTTAGTCAATAATGCATTCCAGGCTATGAACATGAAAAATGAAATAAATTCCATGCCTTCTTCAAGGTAACGGTTTTCTGTTTCTATCACGCGCGTATGGCACAAGTTTTAAGTTGATCGCCAGCTCCCAGCAGTGGATTAAGCTTCCCAAATCGACCTGTCGTTATGAACGAAACCGTATTATGAAAATAAATTTAAAAAAAAAGGCCTGTAGCTGTCGGTTCTATGTGGACATTAATGCAAATGACGCAATTGGGTGTTATCCGCTTCGCTCGATGGAGAGAATTAGATCTCCTAGGAATATCTTTAAATGTTAACATACGTATCAGACAGTGAAATTAGTCCCCAGAACAACGTTGTAAAAATTTCGATCAATTTTTTGAAGGTCTAATTGACAGCGAAAAACCCCAGGAAAAGCAGATACTGAGACGTTAATTTCTTTTAAACTTTTTGATAAAAAGAACTTTCAAAATTTAAAAGATCAAGCATATTTTTCAGCATATTTATTTAGCACATTTTTCATTCATTCCCACTAAAAGATAAATACCCTGCAAAATTTAATTGTATTTTTAATATTTGACGTATAGCAACTTTGGTAACAATAGACATTTAATTAACAGAAAAGTCATGTTCCCGTTTCAAGCTCGCCTTAATTTGTCAGTTTTTGGAGTTAAAATACGCAGACACATTATTCTCAACAAACTTCGCTCCCTAAATCAACTGAAACAGGTGATAATCAACCCTAATACGAAGCTTTTTAGCGTGCGGATATCTCCCTCCATTAGATGTTCTTAAACTGCCCATAGAAGAACAAATGTACAAGGATTAAAAATCTCCATTCAGAAATTTCGGTTCTAGATGTGAAGTGATGACGACTCGACCTCGACAAGAACTTCAGAAGAGATGATATATTCTTACTAAGCGAGAAAAAAAATTTGCACATGTTTGTGGTTTTGAAAGTTAGTTCTCTAATTAAGAAAGGACTTTCATCAAACTGTCGCGCGATTTTACTTTGAAAACTTGCTCTGGCCTTGAGGAAGTCTTTGAGAAAATACTGACGATTCGTGTTGGAATTTACGGTGAATATTTACACACATTTATTTGATATGCCAAATACTTAAAAGCTGTTGCTAAATATTTTTTAGCATGACGGTTTTTAATGAGTCATCGACAGTGTAGTTCAAATAAAATAATGGCGCTGCAAATATAACTTTCTTTCTTTCGTTATACACACTGTCTTGAAATTTGCTTACGTCCTTTTCGCATTACTAATAGTTCATTGAATTGTCCTCTGTCTTGTCTCAAGAAACCTTAAATCAACTCGTAATAATGATTCGAAATTATTTCAAAAGTTCCTATTCTTGTAAAATCGTTCGATCTTCTTCCCAGGGCTTCGTCACTACAAGTTAGACAGGAAGCACAACGTTTTCCGTCCCGGTATGATAAAATCATCCCGACAATTTGTGCACGATGAAACATTTAGCCAGCTTCACGCATTCTGTGGGAGTTTTAAAACATTTTTTTTAGGCGCACTTTTACCAGAATTAACAATTCATTTCTCCCCTATTACTTTACATAGTAAATGTTTTGTTCAAGATGACAGACAAGGCAGATAACAGAAGCTTTTTATGTCTTTTTATGAGCCACAAAATGACGTCTTTAATAAATTATCTCATATATTTTTCCAGCTTGCCTAATTCTTCGGTGGAATTTGCTCGAATTTTCAAGTTACGCTCATAATTGTTTAAGTTCTTATTAGATGTGATATGCCACGGAAAAATAGCTCAATAATTTCGAACTTCAATTTAATTAAAGAAATAAAACGTTGGAAAAATTGTGTGATCCACATTTCTAGTCCTCGAGTCTCTATTGTTTAAATTTGCAAATGTATTAGTCTCGATGCACGAATGGTTCAATTTCTGAAATTGAAAACTGTCAAACAATCTTTAGAACTTATGCACGGAGGAACATTTTTCATTTGTCGTTACATATTTGTTTTGTATCTGAGGCGAAGAACTGTACATAAATTCAAGAAAAAGTTCCAGTAAAGAATAGTGAAATTGTTTCAAAGACAGCTTTCAAGACATGGGTTTTGCCTAAGTTAAGAGGCTTGCATTTTTCAGGGAACTTATTCAGCGTCGCTCTTAAGGCCCTGTTTACTATTCGAGTTGTTATCAGATAGTTGTCTTTTGACTGTCGACTGGTCTCATTCGCGTTTTCAACGATATAGAGAATACTTTATTTAGGCAGGCGATAAATTAAATCGTGCTATTTTTTGCAATTACGAATAGATCAAACTGTTCGACTAAAGCTCATGTGGACTTATTTTCCATCGATTATGATTCATCTTTCATTAAACGTGTTTCATTGGCGCCTTGAAACGAAGTAAGTACGTGCATATGTAGAATATGGAATTTACAATCAAGGAAATGCAGATGCTAGAAATACAGAATATTGTGGTGAGGCTTGTAAGATTTACTTTGCGAAGCATCGTGTATGTTATAATCTTCATCCTGAACTTTTCATCTTACACTTAACGAAGGGTAAATTATGATTAACCTGGTTTTTACTCAAGCATTCATGAAATAATCGGTTCGGGAAGTTAAACGCTGACTACCATAGCAATACTGCTTCCGTTAGAGGAAAACAACTCAAGGCCACTCAGAAACTGGCATTATATCGTCGTTTTACAATCGATAACAGAATCCTTGGAACCTATTAGCCATCACGGAAACATTACAGCATTTAGGTTTTAAAATCATGTAGGAACATTAAGCAGCAGGCTCGTATAACATCAAGGTGGTAAGACATCCAATAAGTTTTATTCGTACATTGAATCATGCATTGCTTCAATTTCATTTTCTACGGTCTTCTTGAGGACAGGAGTCTATAAGAAAACGGTTGCTAGATCCTTTTTTTCCTTATAACTCTACTTTTGGTGTGCTGTCTTGTAAAAAAATAAGAAAAAAAAAAGGAAAATTATATGTTCCGCGTAACTTAATCAGCCCACCGAGGAGAATACGGGAAAATGGAGAAAAATTAATACTGCCTTCATTTGCTGATTTTTTCCTATCTGAGAACATAGGTATTTAGGATAAAATTCTTTGTCTCAATTCCGCCCTCAGAGATTTCCTCATGATTTCAGCTGAGATAAAGGAGGTTAACACATAAAATGCTTGGGACAAGACAAATTTGAATAAAGTTTTTAATTGTCTTTGTTGATGTCGCTGTTACCGCTGTTATATTTTAAATTCCTAACTTTTTGTATAATAGGGCCCTAGATAAATAGCTCCAGCCCTCTCCCTCCCAAAAACGATAAAAAAAAAAAGTGAAACAAGAACAAAAATTGGCAGCATCGAGCATCACTTGTCTTTTGTGAAGACACAAGGTTTGTAGAGAGCATTTCGTGTGTTTTGTTTCTCCTGAGCGATATTATTTTAGGGGAGATAGAACAAAAGCCATCAATAAAAGCCATACGCAAATTTTTCTCAAGTTCCTTTTCTATTTCATGATCGATAAGTCATGAAAAGAATTAATTTTTCTTAATAAACCTTTTTTTATCTCTCGTCATTATACAGGTCCTTGAAAATTCAGATTTCTCCGACTTGAGTTTACATGATCGCCTTTGGTTATTTAGAACGATTATCATAGAAAGAGGAAATTTATGCTAATTTCCATTGAGACAAGACATCGTTGTCTTGCATCACGCAGCAGATTCATACATGGGTTCAAGATGTTTCATCAGTAAATTCAGTATACATTGGAAAATTCGACTTTTTCCAGGAAATAGTAAACTTTAATTAAAAATGTCGAACACTATATTTCCCAAACCAGAAATATCGAAATAATCGGATTTTGACTTAGCCTTTGCTAGTTGTTGTAACTTTAACTCTTTTTGTATCAGCAAAAGAGAATAGAAGAGATCTATAAATAAGGTTGTACTCATATGTGAAACGAAGGATAAAAAATGATTCGCCGTCTGCGACTCACCTTTTCCAAAAGTTAAGTTGGTCGATAATGCAGTCCAGGTTTAGAACATGAAAAATGAACAAATTCCATGCCTTCTACCTTGCACGTATGACACGAGTTTAAAGTTAATTGTCAGCTCCCAGCAATGGATTAAGCTTCCCAAATCGACCTGTCGTTATGAAAGAAACCGTATCATGAGAATAAATTTAAAAATATGCTTGCAGCTGTCAGTTCTATGTGGAAATTAATGCAAATGACGCAAATGGATGTTATCCACTTCGCTCGATGGAGAGGAATTGGGTCTCATAGGACTATCCTTACATGTTAACATACGTATTAGACACCGAAATTAGTCCTTAGACCAACAGTGTAAAAATTTGGATTAATTTCTTTAGAAGGTCTAATTGACGGCGATAAAACGCCCGATGATTGTTTCAACTCTTTATTTATCTACAAAGTCCAGAAACCAAAAGGGCAAGAAAGACTCAAACATAAAGCTTCCAAACTATATCCGATGAATATATCGTTTCTAAGTTGTTATTAACACATTCAGCAATTTGGACGGGGTTAAAACTTTAGAGACTTTTTGGTAATTTTTGAGGTAAGCAGAGCAACATATTGTTTACCAGAGCTTTCGTGTTACATGGAAATAATCATGTAAAGGTTCAGTTAGTAAACCTCGAGTATTGATAATCTGCTTTTGTTGAAAAAAACCTTTAGTTAGTCTGCTTTTAAAATTGCACTATACCCTTATTTTAGAGTGAAGCCAACCTTTTCATTGTGGTATGCAGAATTAAAGGAGCCGCGGGTAGATATCCTTTTCGTAAAGAATATGAATTTTCCAGGGATAGTATTACTCAAATCATCCATCTGTGTTTTCGATTTGATCAACTCTTACCTCTTAAGTTGCAAAGCTCTTTGGCCCCTCACTGCTTTTGAGATAAACGTACTTTCTTTAGCTATGATTACAATAGAAACACCTGGTTTGAAGCCAAAACGATTATTTATTTTAGGTAAGAACTTCATGTAAAAACTACGCAAATATCATTACAATCTCAATTCTGCAATAAGCGTAATTTTTAGCCGATAACGTTGACAAATTATCATTATGAAACATCATATTCGGTCTAAAGTAGCTTTTAAAGGTTGTTTAAGAAGATTTCCTTCAAGTTCTCAAATAATCCAGT